TGTCCTGTCATTTGCCTCTCATTTTGGAGTACCAGGGGACACGCCAGATTCTAAAGGCCGGACCTTCTATGCCTGGCCTGAAGCTCATCTGGCCGCAGCCAGGGACGTCAACACCTTCTCAGATGGATGACATGCTGTAGGTGGAGTCTGCAGGCATCAGGGAGGGAGAGAGCAATGAATCCAGGTGGCAGGCTGGGCCAGACCTGGGAAGAAGATGTATCTGAGCCATCCCAAACATCTGCCTCCTCTCACTTTTTGTTCTCAAGACCAATGGGTAAAGGCCAGAAAGAAAACAAGACCTGTATTTGGGTCACTCATCCTGCTGCCTGGAATACTGGCCCACCTGACAGAGGCCAGGGTCCTGGGGCTCAGTGCTGCCCAACCATGGGCCACAAGGTAAGTGGTGCTCACTGCCCTCCTCCCTGCCTCCTTCCCTCCCTCCCTTCCTTTCTCCCTCCCTCTCTGCCTTTCTTCCTTCTGTGCTTATCAAGTAAATACGGCATGTTTAGGAAGATGACATTTTTCATACCAAAAATCATATCATAAAAATTCATGGTCTGAGAAGATGGTGCCTTCTCCTCAGTGTATCTCCCACTGGGATCTACTTAGGGAGAGAGAGATAAACACAGACTAAGGTGCCATGGCGTATAAACACTACAACATGGGTACAGGCAGAGGGTGGCGCTCAGAGAAAAGAGCAACCAGCTCCCTCTAGAGGGGTCGCATATGACGGGTGACATTTGAGCTGGGTATTAAAGACGAAGGACTAGCTTGTTAGATGGTTGAGAGGCAAGAAGGTGAGCATGAACCTAGGTAAGGAGATGGGACGAGGCTGACGTGACAGGAAAAGAAGAGAGCAGTGCAGTGGGACGGTGCCTGCAGCAAAGAGCTGGAGGTGGGGCAGGAGAGGCGGGCTTTATTCTCCGTGCTGGGAAGGCTGGGCTTTTTCTCATAAGCGATGAGCAGCCAATGAATGATTTTTTTTTAAGTGTAAACGCAGTCCCCCACTATCACAAACGGTGCAGTCGAATTGCCCACATTTGGGGAAATCACGGGTCAGCACACCTCAAATGCGATGGCTAAGCGTTGCCCTGGGAAAACCACCTTTGTGATCACGGTATCTCCCCTTGTCAGGTAAGTGTTCTGTGAGTGATTTTAAGTCAGACGTGGATATGACTGCATTTGTAAGAATGAATGAATAAAAAAAATAACTCTCAGGCTGCAGGATGGATGGAGGATGGACTGCAGTAGGGAGCAATTCACATACATTTATTAAATGTAATGACAAACACTTGATTGTGCATGGGCCAGGCGCTGTTGGAAGTGCATTATAACGTATCCTCATTAAGTGTGCGTGACGACCTGTTTTTACAGATGAAGAAACTGAGACACATGTGACCTGCAGCCAGTGAGCATCAGCTCTGAGAATAAACCCAGGCAGGCTTGCTCCAGAGTCCATGATTGTCACTCTACTGCTTCTTGGTGGATACTTAAAATGACCGTGGCTCCTTGATGGGGATACAGTCATGGATGAGAAGCACTCGGCCCTCTAGGAAGATACAGGCCACCAGAATGGTGGCAGTTCAGGTCAGAGAGAGAGAACCTAAACCAGCGTGATTAAGTGGGGGTGGACAGCGCGTCTGAGGACTCTTTGGGACGTGAGCTGGCCGACTCGGCGTGCGAGGAAAGAGAAGTGAAGGGCCGCTCAGGGGGCTGGATGGAGATGCCGTTATCGGAGACGGGGGGGGAGGAGAGGAGGGAGAAACGTACTAAGTGCAGTTTGCGACACCATTTCTGAGGTGTCTGGGAGGCACCCAGGTGGGGAGGTCTTAGTAGTGTGTTTAAAATGTGCGTCTGAAATTCAGGGCAGCAGTCAGGGTTAGGCGGACAGATTTGGGAACAGGTGAGATTATCCAGGCAGAGCTGCGAGAGTGAGAACAGAAAAGGACCACAGACATTTAAGGGACAGGCAGAGAGAGGAATCAACAGGAATGATGGAGAAGGCAATAATCAGACACGTAGGAGGAACAGCAGGAGAAAACGGTGACTTGGACGCTAGGAACAGAGAGAGTTTTAATAAGCAGGAGGGCTCAATGGAAACAAATGCCAAAGCCAGAATCCGTAGGCAGCCTCTGAGTGGCAGGGAGCAGAGGTCAAAAGAGCAAAGTATTCATCTGGTTTTGATCCTGGAGATACGTGAGCAGAATCAGAGACGATACCCCAAGGTTGGGAGGGAGGAAAATATCCTATAGCCATCTCATGATGCTCCATATTCGTGAAGGAACATAGATAATCTTAGATTGCTGGAAATTCACAAAATGTTTCTGGTCATCTTTAGACTTGAGAGACATACCTGCCACCATGGGTTATTTTGGAGGGTTTTGCAGGGGTTTCTAACTAGGCATTTATACTTTGGGTTAACCATTTGCACTTTTGCACACAGGTTTGACTGCCACCAGATGCTCACCTTTTGGTAACAAACACACACGACTCGGGTGACCTCAGACATAGGACTAAGATTCTAGGTCATGATGGATTATAAATGAAATTAAATGAACCATACTTTTACTCACAGAAAACTATCAATTAGAGAAAATTCACAAAAGAATAAACATCCAGCATTCAACGTTAATTCCATTAACGTAACACTGTTGTATTAAGAAGAAGCGTCTCTACGTGGTTTTGGATTCAGGCTCTCACAGTGACCTCTGCCGGGCTCCCCTTTGGTGTTAGCTGTTCCCTCTGATGCCTCTTTTGCTTCTGATTCTGCAAAGTTCATCTCAGGCTTTTTCTCACCAGGTTTCATCTGGTTTAGTCAATTCAGGCTAGTTCTCTCCCCAGCTCGCTCTTTGGTACTTTCTAAGCATTCTGCCTCACACACAGAATACACTCAATAAATATTTGTTGAATAAATGCATAAACTGTCAGTTCCGCTCAGTGTAAGCTGTTCACGCCAGCACTCAGTTTTCACTCAGCTTGGCCTCCTGTTAGAAATCAGATCTGAGCAGCCATGTGACACATCCAGTCGGGAGGTGAGGGAGGGGGAGGAATCCTGACCAGAGAGGGGACCTGTACGGGTTGGGGTTCTCCAGAGAGACAGAGCGAACCAGTAGGGGGTGTGTGAGAGTGTGTGTGTGTGTGTGAATGTGTGTAAGTAAAGAGATTTATCTCAAGAAATTGACTCATGTGATTGTGAGAGCTGGTAGGTCCAAAATCTGTAGAGCAGACTGGAAACTCAGACAGGACTTTTAGTGACAATCTTGATACAGAATTCCTTTGCTTTGGGGAAACCAGTTTTTGCACTTAAGGCCTTTAACTGGCTGAGGCTCACCCACATTAACAAAGGTCATCTCCTTTACTTGATGTCAACTGATCGTAGATGTCAATCACATCTACAAAATACCCTCACAGCAACGTCTAGGCTAGGGGTTGACCAAACATCCGGGCACTGTAGCCTAGCCAAGCCGACACATAAAACTTCACATCCCGGAACTAACGCAGGGTAAGTCATACAGCCATAGGTTTGCAGAGGGTGGAAAACGTTTGGCTAATGATCCAATTAAGGATGTTCAGAGGATTGGTGAATTGGAGTTTGGTTCTGGCCAAAGTTGATATTCAGGACAGTGGTGATATTCTGGGTGGTGACAGCAGCCCAGCAGAAGGCGCTGGAAACACATGGGGTGAGGTGCCTCCACCTATGTGGCTCCTCTGGGTCCATCGGGCCAAGGGTGGGGCTCTAGTTCCCGGGCCTTAATGGAGAAATCACGGCCAGAGCCTAGTCATTTGGCCTGGCCACAGGGGTCTAGTCTGGAGAAAGGCTGTGTGTTTCCATTTCTTTTGGATCCTTCCTTGCAGCTCAGTTGTGGGAGGAGGGTGAGGTGAGCTCCAGAAACAGTGCTGGCTGGAAAGCTGGCTCAGGGGTAGCGACAGATGTAACAATGACAAGAACACTGTCTGAGAGTCAGGCGACCTGGATTCCAGGCCCAGCCCTGGGGCAGCTCCAGGTGTGACCTTGATCTCCTCTTCTGCGAGATGGGAATTATCACTCCTTCCCTCTTCCCTCAAAGAACAGCCCTGAGGACCAACTGAGGATGGAGCACAGAGCGCCTGACTTACAGGACATGTGATGCAAAAGCCACCCGGTGGGGGTGGTGGCCTGGTGTCACGGAGGGCGCACAGGCTCGCATCACACCTCTCCTGGGTCTGAACGCTGCTCTTTCTTTTAGTGATGTGTGGCCTTGTCCACATTTTCAGAACTGACTGCCACTGTTCCCCATTTCAAAGATAAGAACAAGAAGGGGCGGGTATAGCTCAGTGGTAGAGCGTGTGCTTAGCACGCACAAGGTCCTGGGTTCGATTCCTGGTACCTCCACTAAAAATAAATGAAAAATAAATAAAATAAGAACAACACGACTGCATTCGATTACTAGGGCTGCCAGAACAAGTACCACCAACCGGGGGACTTGCCACGACAGCGATGTATGGTCTCCCGGGTCTGGAGGTGTGAGGTTCCACATCAAGGTGTCAGCAGGGCCGCGCTCTCTCCGAAGGCTTTAGGGGAGGGTCCTTCCTTTTCTCTGTGAGCTCCTGGGTGGTTGGCAATCCTTGGCGCTTCCTGGCTTGTAGATGATTACTCCAATCTGCTCCCAAATTCACAGGGGCTTCTCCCCTGTGTGTCTGTGCCCAAATTCCCTCTTTTTATAAAGACACCAGTCATTGGATTAGCAGCCCCTCTTCCAGTATGACTTCATCTTAACTTGATTCTACCTGCAAAGAACCTATTTCCAAATAAGGTCCTGGGGGTTAGCGCTTCAACACAGCTTTGGATGGGACACAATTCGACCTGTAACAGCTGCCCACATCACAGGGACCTGAAAGGGCATCTGGCACATAAGAGATGCTCAGTGAATGGGAGCGGTCATCATTATGGAAAAGAGAGGAGAAGGGATCCAATGCCCCTTAATTCACAAGACAGACACATCAGTTACAGCGTCAGCCATGACCAAATCCTCACACCTCGTTCTGCCTTAGCCTGGGGAGCTTGGATTCTGATGCTGTCTCTCCTTCCAGATGATCTGCCCCCTTTCCCAGGCCGGGCAGTGATCCTGATGGACACTGAGGCCCAGTACAGGACAGTGCTCTTCCGAGCTGCTTGAGTGGGCTCTGTGACCAGGAGACCTTCCTCCCAGAGACACAGGCCACAGTTCCTGATGCGCTAGCAGCTGCCAGGCTACAGATAATCCCCTTTCTCCAGGGCGGAGGTCTGGGGCTGGGAAGGGGTCAGAAGCTGCAGGGTCACATCTTCAGCAGGCACGTGGGGTGAGCTCTTGGTTCCTTTCCCAGTGGGCAGCCTGATGGCGCCAGGGTGTGTATGCGCATACGCCACGTCAGCATGACCCCGAATGCCTACGGTGCCTAGGGCGTTGGGGAAATCCACGTACTAGCCGTGCCCTGAGAGCCAGTTTGGACGAGGCACAGCCAGGGTTACTGTCCCGACGCTCCCCACCACCAGCCAGGAGACTGTGCCTTCACGCCCACCCTCTGCTGCCCTTCAGTGACCTTTCACAAACCCATTTTCACACTCATTGTAATAACTCTAGCCAACCTAACCAGAGAAGTCTTTTTTTTTTTTTGTAAGGATGCAGAAGAGGAGACAGGCCAGGTAGAGGTGACATTAAATTATCTGCTCCTTCTTCCCCAGGACAGATCATCAGCAGAGGGAGTCTGCAATGCCTCACCAGGTCCGATGCTCAGAGTGAACAGAGGAACAGAGGTGGACCTCAAAGTTGGTAAAGTCCTTGAGAATGCTGGGGAGACTTCTCTGGGCTGGGGACCCACCCCCCAGAGGAAGCAGAGTGACCCACGGGACCAGTCGCCGACACACTATGAACAAAGGGTTGAACAATCGTCCTTGGCCATCCCTATTGAGTGAGGCAAAAGCAGTTTTTATTGGAAAGCCCACAAGTGTGACTTTTCCATTCTTCCTGTTTGCAAGTCTCTGCAGCTGATGGGAGAAAAAAATAACCCAGCACATTTGCATTTAAGTCTTGAAATCTAAATATTTCTGTGAGTCATTCATTATTACCATATAACTCAGTGTTTGCATGCAAATAACTTTAATGCCATAAATGCTTATAAAATAAATCTCTTACCATATGAACTCGGTAAAGAATGCTAATTCCCAGAGTCATGAATGGCTTCGAGAAATCAATCACCTTCTCCCGTTCAGCCGTAATGGTGAGGCCTGCCACGGCCAGATCTGCTTTCTGAAAGGAACAGAGAGGGACCATCAGCGGGGTGGCCACATGAGAAGGCGGCACGGGGACTTGTGACCAGAGGCTGTCACTGATGGGGAGATGTTGCTCTGGTCTGGCTTCTCTGCTTGGGGAGTGACCCCAAGCAGCCACGGCATCGCCCAGATCTGAATGATCCCGCATCAAAGGACATGGCTGTGGAAGCTGTAACTCACGTTCATTTGTGGGTAGACCCCTCCAAATACATGTTATAAAAACAGGGCATCACTACAGACTGTTCAGACTGTTCAGAATGCCCCAGGAAGGGCAAACTGGCAGATAGAACTTCTGGATACTCAATACGGAGCAGTTTTTTAAAATTCAACTTATTAATTGGTTCAGTCAACAAAACTTCGCCGTGACCCTGTAGTGGGTACGCTTTGGTGACAGGCTTTACAATGAAAGAGAAAAATGATGGAAGCACAGAAGTGAGAGGCAATCTAATGCAACCCCATTGACCCCACGGTGACCAGGAAATTGAGCAAGTGGCCCAGCATCGCTAAGCTTGTCCCTGTCAGAGCTAGGACGGCACCTCAGGCCTCCTGGACCACTGGCCGCTTATGCTGCTGTCAAGGGTAAAAATCCGGCAGAATTAAAAGAAAAGCCTCTCATCATTTTCATGCAAAATCACCAGCGTCTGTCCTGAAGATGTTTCCCTCCTTTCTTTGCCTCCGCCGTGCACCTCAAGTGCCCGCATCTCAGGAGAGCCTGTCCTGAGTGAAGGCCCTCTGGGAAAGGCGATGCTATTGGCTTCTTCAATACTCCTCTCTGTCCGGAAGTTCTTCCTTGTGTCTAACTTCAATCCAATCCTGTTGCAAAGCAAGCTCACTTCCTATTGGTCTGCTCCCCTATACATGGAGCAGTGGGAAACGCCCAGAGCTGGCGTTCAGTCCTGGCCATGCTCCGCCCTAACTAACTAACTGACTAACCAACCAACCTAGGCTAGTCGCCTCATTTGTCTGGGCTTCCTTAATCTCATCTGCAAACCGAGGATGTGGGGTTAAGACAGTGCTAGGATGCTCCCCAGCAACTCCCGAACAGGGATTCTCAAAATGTAGTCCAAGGCTAACCGCGGCGGAATCACCTGTAGGGCTTACTGAGATGTGAACTCCTGAGCCTCCTCCCAGACCCCCTGGTTCAGACTCTGGTGGGCAGGGCCCGGAATCTGGATTTGTAATCAGCTGCCTCGGCGTTCCTGACTTACACCGACATTTCAGAACCATGTTTTACAACCTGGGCATGTGTCTTGGGCTGGCCTCCCTTGCGTTTACATTTTAGCTTAACTCCTAATTCTGGCGGATCAGTTGATACAAAAGGTGAAGAAAGAGATGAGGAAAAGCGGGGTGTCCAGCAATCCACAAAAAGGCCAATCAGCTCTGAATAAGTACACTCTCACACACACACACACAGGATTCTTCCCAAATCTTTGCAAAGGAAGTAGGGAGAGAGAGGTGCTGCCCACCGTTTTACACACAAGGGGATGTAAGATTTGTGTAAAGAAGGACACACCCATTGGCAAAGGTCAGTTTCTTCTCCATCTCAACCCCAGTCCTCCACTCGCAATTCACGCTAAAGCAGCCACGCGATCCAGCGTAGGTTAACAGCTCGGGACCTTACAAAGTGAGGCCAGGCTTAAAAGAGACTAGAGTGCAGATCTAAGAGATTTTTAATAAAAAATGAAAAATGTGAATGACTCGTTGTGCTCCTTCTGTATTTCTCCAAGAGAGTGTTGATGGTGGCTGTCAAGTAACTCAACTCTTGGGGAGAGAGTGAAGTGTGATTAGATTAGTAGTGCCTTCCTTTGGGGGACTCTTTAGATGGTTGTCTGGGCCTTTCAGAGCCTCAGCCCCTTAGTGATGGTGGCACTGACTTCCATTCAGCCCGAGAGCACAGGTGTAAAGGGACAGAAATCCACCACAAAGGCACAGAAGGTGCAATGCCGGTTCCGTGCTGGGGGTGGTTTGCAGCCAATCAGCAGCCAAGCCCTGCATGGACTTTGGGAGGAGGGGACAAGAGTTAAATGGGTTGGAATGAAAGAACTGAAGAAAAGATTTGGAAAATAAAAACTGACAAGATGGACAGGAGGTAAACACAGCATCCTGTCCTTTCTCTGGTCATTAAATACAATAGATACAAGCAACCAAAGTCAACGACTCTATCCTCAAGGTTCTTTTCCTCCCACATAGCTTTCTTTCCAAAAGGGCAGACTTCGGATTGAAATTTGGAAATCATTTCACAAGTTTATACAAGTTGGCCAGCAAGGACATTATGGTTAAAACAATTCCATATGGAGAGAAAGCTGGAAATGGACGGCATCCCAGGAGGGTGCTTCCCTGGGTACGAACAGAATGACCACACACCCAGGGGGAGCGTTGGCCCCGACAGGGTGCTTCTGCCTAATTCACGAACAGACACATCCCCAAACTGGGCCAAACGGAAAGACTGCCTCCTGAGGGCACCGCTGCCTCCTTGTCCCCAGCCTGTCTCTCTTTCCTTTGTCCCCACTCAAGAGTAAGCTGGGGGCAGGGGAGGCAGAGAAGGAGGGATGAGAAGCTAGAAGAAACCACAGAGGTTTTGTGGTGGTTGTTTTTCATATTTCACTGATTCAGCAGAGAACAGTAATCACGTACCTTGGCCTCAGTGCTCCCCGGGGTATCTGCCACAACCTCGTGGGATCAGGTTAGTCCAAAAGGCACACGTGCCCTTATTTTGCCTTTGTTAGAAAGACATTATGCCGTAAAGCAGTCTTAGATGAGGAGATAATGTGTCATGAAACCAAAGTACCAACCAAGGGGACTGGGACTGCAAAAATGCTAGCAACTGAGGGATTCGCGGGCAGGATGATGGCTCATCCGAGCTCTTCTGCATCTCTGGCCACTTGGGGAGGGCTGTGCTCTTCGTGGAAAGAGCCATGGACAGGACGCCAGCAGACCTGTCACAGCTGGGCCACAAATTCACCGTGACCTTGGGCAGGTTATTCTACTCTCTGGGTGTTAATTTCCTCCACTGTGAAATGAAAGGCTTCACCAGATGCCCCCCAAGCCCCCTCCCAGCCCTAAAATCCCAGGCTTTCCTTTTGCGGGGCCAGGAGAGGAGGAACTTAGTCTAACTGGCCCCTATTTGCTCAAGGAGATGATGGCGGTCCCAGAATCCAACGCTTCAGAGAAGTGGAGGAGGAAGGTGTTTATCAGACCATTCAGGAGCAGCAGCTGACAGGGGCCTGGGGCCGGGAAGTCAGGACAGGTCGGGAAGGTGCAACGCCACCTGGAGAGAGCAGGTCTGGAAGTGTAAGCCTGGGGGCTGGGAATCCAGAAAAGGGTGAGACTCCTGGAGCCAGAGAAGGGAAGAGGACTGGGAAAAGGGGACAGGCAGAGAGCTCTGTGGGCATCACCACGTTCCTGGTGGGTGTGTGTGTAGGTGTGTGTGCATGTGTGCACAGGGGTGTATAAACACATTCCCTTAGAGAGAAAGACCTCTCTCCTCTCCCCATTTTTGATTGAAAGTGTTCTTTGAAGAGCTTAGGGCTCTGCCTCTGAGAGATGCTCTCTTTTATCTCCTAGCTGTTGTGGAATTTATAAGGAGAGGGCAGGTTGGAGGCAGCCTGGGGGTGACTTCTAAAACATACAATCTTTGGCCTCCTGGGTTTTAACAGGGGTCAGCCGCCTGCCACCATCGCTATCAGGGTGGCCTGAAGGCTCGAGGTGGCCGCTGCTCTCCTCCTGGGACCTGGGGACTGGCTGGGAGGAAGCCAGCGCGTTCAGAGCGCGCTCTGGTGCGTGCCTGCCTGAGCCTGCTGTTCCCGCCCTGTGCTTCCCTGAGAATCCCACCAGGGAGGCTTCTGCCGGTAGCACCAGATCCTGAAAGACCTGAAGGGACAAAGCTCTCCCTGTCTCCTTTTCCTCCTCTTTTAGACTCCTGCTGCTCACTTTTGGGCAAAATTCAATCCCCTCCCCTCAGTAGCACCCCAGCACCAGGGGCAGACCTTCCACTGCCTCGGTCCTGCCCCATCCTCGCCGAGCTCCTCCCTCGCAGGGAGCCCAGGTAATGAGAGGATGGGGCAGGTCCGAAGACCAGGTTCTGCCTTTTGCTGACCATGTGTCCATAGTGGCTCCTTACCCTGGGACTCAGTTTACTGGGCCATACAATGGACAACACCTGCCAATCAATATTACATGAGAGTTAAGAGAGATGACAGGTTTGCAAGAGACCTATAAACTCTGCACACTGGGGTCCTGCCACGCCTCTCAGGGACTGTGAAGGCAGTAGAGAGGGTGGCTGAGACTTAGCTTTCAGTGTGGGACAGACCTGTCTGGACTCTGTTACTTACTTGCTGCATTACCTTGGGCAAAAGTCATTTAACCTCTCCAAACCTCAGTTTGCTCCTCTGTGAAGTGGGGATAATAATAATTGTACCCACCTCCTAGAATTGCTAAGAAAGTGAATGAGACGATGCTTATAAATGCTGAGCATGGGGCCTGGGTGGAAATAAGTACCCGATAAATCTTTGCTGTTAGGATGATAATGATGATGGTGTGATGCTGATGAACTTGATGAGGATGATACTCTCAACAGGGGCTTCTGGAGACAACATCTTAACCCAGGGTGAGCTGTGGGAATGCCTGGGGGGGCGGGGGCAGCCAGGCCTGTTCTACCTCCATGTAGGCGAAGATCTCTGCACATTTGGCCCCTTTTCCTAGGTGACCTGGGACAGGTGCACAGCTGTACTGACACAGGGTGCTTCTCTGGTGTGACTGCCCATCTCTGAAGATCCACGTAAGGACCCTCTGAGGCCTCACACTGTCCTATTGCTGGGGAAACTCCAGGAAAACCTGAAACCCAGCTTGAAAACCAAGTGCAGGCATTCTCCACCGCCTCTTCCTGGTTATGTGATTCTCCTCAAGGGACAGCAGATTAATGACCCCCCAGCTTCCTTGGAATCCTTGGATCCACTGTGCTGTCTCTGATCAGCTTCC